ATCGTGAAAGAGCGTCTCCATGGCTTCGTTGGGACTCTATGGTCCCCTGCAGGACGATGGGCAACATCGATAAGGTGCGCGCAGGTGCGAGAGCTCTTTCCATTCCACGCACTTCCAAGATTCCTGGTGTCGCCATGGGTCGCCGCCCAGCTCGCTGTTACCGGTATTGCAAGAACAAACCGTACCCAAAGTCTCGTTTCTGCCGAGGTGTTCCTGATGCCAAGATCCGCATCTTTGACTTGGGTCGAAAGAAAGCAAAAGTGGATGAGTTCCCACTTTGTGGCCACATGGTGTCTGGTGAATATGAGCAGCTTTCATCTGAAGCCCTGGAGGCCGCCCGAATTTGCGCCAACAAATACATGGTGAAAAGTTGTGGCAGAGATGGCTTTCACATCCGAGTGCGGCTCCATCCCTTCCACGTCATCCGCATCAACAAGATGTTGTCCTGTGCTGGGGCTGACAGGCTCCAGACAGGTATGCGAGGAGCCTTTGGAAAGCCCCAGGGCACCGTGGCCAGAGTTCACATTGGCCAAGTCATCATGTCCATCCGCACCAAGCTTCAGAACAAGGAGCATGTGATCGAAGCCTTACGCAGGGCCAAGTTCAAGTTCCCTGGCCGCCAGAAGATCCATATCTCCAAGAAGTGGGGCTTTACTAAGTTTAATGCTGATGAATTTGAAGAAAAAGTGGCGAAGAAGTGCCTCATCCCTGATGGTTGTGGAGTCAAATACGTCCCCAGTCGTGGACCTTTGGCCAAGTGGCGGGCTCTGCAGTCGTGAAGGCTTTAGCAGCATGCATCCTTGGGCCATGCCAATATGACTTATCTCACCAATAAATTCTATTTACTGACAAAAATTATTTATTAATTTTTTAATATTTTAAAATTATTTATCAAATTTTTAGAATATAGGCTACTAGAGAAATAATACAGAAAGTTTTAATGGCAAATGATACTTTCCTTAAGTAAGAAACAATTTGTATTCAATTTATAGAGAAAGTGATTGCTATTCTAATCTAAACCCTTTAAATTTAGGAGTATAGGGAAATAGGTCAAAAGTTTTGTTTGTAGTAAAGTCATAGATTGTGCAGCTATCATTACCTTGAATAAAAAATAGCTAGAGAAAATCCAAGATTTGTGTGACAAAACCTTTATTAGTTATAGAAAACTAAACAAGAGGGATGAATATAATGGTAGGCATTAGTGATATTTCAACTATAGCCTCTTTTAAACAAAATAGTCTATTCCTAAACTTGGTTGCTTATGTTTTCCTATATATTTTTGTTAACGTTGTTTTTAGAATTACCTATCACCTCCGTTTATCAGCCTGAGGACAATTGGGTGTCACTGAAAAGGTTTTTCCACTCAAGACTTGTATTATCTCACACTCAGGAGACAACAATCCAATCGTTTCTTCATCAGAGAAAGGTCATAGGTGACGAGAGTTCATATTGCTTGTATTGGGCCCCAGTAGAATGAACAGAAGAGAGAGAATGACACTAAATCAGCTCTCTGTGCTCTAAAAGGACCCTAGAGAGAGTTTGCAGTCTGTAGGTGCTTGTCCTACGTTAGTTGCATTGATC